GAAGATGCTATGCTTAAGGACACAGCTCATTACTATTCTCGAAAAGCATCACAATGGATATTTCAAGATTCTTGTCCTGATTACATGCTAAAGGTAACATATCACATCTTTAACTCTGTTTTTTAACGATGAAAAATACTACCATTTTCAGTTGTTTTATTAACCAAGTATTACATAAATAAAAGGTGGAGGAGTGCTTGAAAACGGAAAAGAATCGGGTTTCTCATTACTTGCATTCAAGCAGTGAGACAAAGCTTTTGGAGCAAGTTGAAAATGAGTTGTTGGTAGTATATGCAAATCAATTGTTGGAGAAGGAGACTGGATGCCGTGCTTTGCTCAGAGATGATAAGGTCGACGAGCTTTCAAGAATGTACAGGCTATTCCACAATATTCCCAAGGGATTGGAAGAAGTTGCCAAAATTTTCAAGGAGGTTCGTAATATTCCAATAATTTACGTGATATTTGTTTTTTTGAAAAAAAAATGCTTTTTGTAAATATGCTAACGCTTATGAGGGTTTGCTTGGTGTAGCATGTCCATTCTGAAGGTTTGATGGCAATCCAGATGATTGAAGATGCTACCTGTAACAAGGTATGCTGATTTTGTTTGCGACGAAATATTATGCTTTTCGTTTGAACACATTATGTCGTATTGTTGTTGTAATTGATTCTAACGGGAATTTTGGTGGTTGTACAGACCGAAAAAGCTGGTGGAGCACGCGGGGAGCATGTATATTTCTTTACCATGTGGTGATTGGATATACTTTTCTTTCTTACGTTCGGCTGTTTTTATCTGATTTTGCTTTTAATGCAGGCACTTATGACAACATTCATCGAGCTTCACAACAAGTATTCTGCGTACACGACTGGTTGCTTTTGCAACAACGCCGTTTTACACAAGGTAATATATATGAGTTCGAAGTTCAGAATAGCCGATTCATTTAATTCTGCTCGATTATGTTACTTATTATTTGAAAATTTGGATTTTGATCATATGATATAGGCACTCAAGCAAGCTTTTGAGTCCTTTTGCAATCAAGTTGTTTGTGGCACCTCAAATGCGGATCATTTGGCTTCGTACTGCGATTATATTCTCAAGAAGGGTGGAAGTGAAAAGATAAGTGACGAAGCTATCGATGAAAGTATGGATAAGATTGTGAAGCTCCTTGCTTACATCAGCGACAAAGACCTTTTTGCCGAGTTCTCCAGGAAGAAGCTATCACGTCGTCTTCTCTTTGATAGAAATGTTAATGATGACCATGAAAGACTTTTTTTGACAAAGTTGAAGCAGCAGTGTGGCGGTCAGTTTACTTCAAAGATGGAGGGAATGGTCAGTGTCCAACGAAAGAATTATTATTATTTTTTTATTTATTTGTTAACTAAAAAACATTTCTCGATTGTTTAAATTTTTTAGGTTACGGATTTAGCATTGGCAAAGGAAAACCAGAATCAGTTCCATGAGTACCTTATCAATAATAATGCTGCAATTCCTGGGATGGATCTGACCGTCAATGTTCTCACTACCGGATTTTGGCCGACTTATAAAACTTGTGATTTGCGCCTTCCGGCAGAAATGGTTTGACCCTTTTTTCTTTGGTTAATAACCGATTTTTTCGACTATGTTTATGCATGGATTAACCGAGTCTTTTTTTACTTTTTTCTCCTGCTACTTTCTGTTTCAGGTGAAGTGCGTTCAGGTTTTCAAGGAACATTACGAAGCGAAAACGAAACATAGGAAGCTTACATGGATTTATTCTTTGGGAACATGCAGCATAAACGGCAAATTTGATTCGAAAACGATCGAGCTAGTAGTAGGGACTTACCAGGTTAATATAATACTCTCTTGTGAATTAATCAACACATCAATCAACCTGTCTAAACATTATCCTAGAAAAATGGATGGCTAATTGCATTTCTTTTTTTGAATTATCAGGGGGCTGTGTTGCTGCTATTTAATGATGCCCAGAGATTGAGCTATTCGGATATCAAGACTCAATTAAATTTTGAGGACGACGATTTAATGAGAGTGCTTCACTCGCTTTCTTGCAGCAAGTACAAGATTTTAAAGAAGGATCCCGATTCTAAATTCGTCTCGCCAAATGATTATTTCGAGTTCAACTCCAAGTTTACTGACAAAATGAGGAGGATCAGGGTATGTTTAGCAGTTTTCTGTAATGTCTTCATTTATTATCTCCTTAAAATAAAAAATAAAAAAAAAATATTTATGGGCTAAAATCTTTTCGTGTTTGATGTTTCAGATACCTCTGCCCGTAGTGGACGATAGGAAAAAGGTGATTCAAGATGTCGACAATGACAGGCGTTATTCAATTGACGCTGCACTTGTGCGTATAATGAAAGGCCGTAAAATTTTAGGCCATCAACAACTAATCCTTGAGTGTGTCGAAATGTTGAGCAACATGTTCAAAGTATGTACTTCACTTCTTTATTTTTTTTTTTTCTAAACAAAGGCATTTTTGCTTTTCCTTTATTAAAATTAAGTTTGGAGTTTGTTACTGATATGTTATACTTTTATTGCAGCCTGATGTTAAAGTAATCAAAAAGAGGATTGAAGATCTGCTAGCAAGAGATTACTTGGAAAGAGATGCAGAAAACCCCAACCTATACAAGTATGTAGCTTGACAAGTATTAGCTCGGGTATTTCGACGAGTAGTAGCATAAATTAGAACTAGTTCTCGTTTTAGTCGATTATATATACATGATAAGAATAGATCAGTAGACATTTCGTAATCTTTTTGCAACAGTACAGTTATAGAGTTTCCAGAATTGAAGACATAAAAATTGATTGAAAAATTAATGAGAGTTTTTTTTACAAGAATAAAGTTACAACAGTTTTACAAAATTTACAAAAAATCACAGGAAACAAACATGCTATGCATATGTTCCGAAAAAAGAACCAGAAACGAGACGTCCCAAACCATTCTCAGAAGAAGAAAGAAATCGAAAATTTACCTATTATATATTCTGCGAAACTCAACATACATCTCATGTTACTCAGCACCTGCACCAAGAATCCAGAATCATTAATCATTCAGTGTGGTTCTTTTTCTTTTTTTTTTTATGGGCCTACTGAAAAATGAGAAATAAGAAATGGCAGCTATACCTGTCAATTGCAGATGGTTTTTTGCATCCTATGTAGTAACTGTTGTGATCTTAGAGGAACTTCAGTAGATGAACATCTCTCTCTAACTAATTAGAATCAACTCCACATATAATTGCACATATACATATACATGATACACCTTTAGGGGATCACTTTCCGACCCGTGTATAAAGGACTACAGCATTATTTGTTCACTCAGATAAACATGTTTCAGCAACTTATTCTGATTGTCTAGATCAACAGAAAAGGCAAATTTGGTTGTGGGGGCAAGAGTGAAATTGTATGCCACAGTTTCAGGCGCTTATTTTTGTCCAAGCACAGCTGTATTATAAAGAATGGGAAACAAGCATTGTCGAAGTCAAGTATAACTGTACAGATTTTACAAGGGTGATATTCTGATGGAACTCTGTGATTTGATGGAGGGACCCGATAGCATGATAAGCAACAATGCTATTTTAACGATTGATGGCTTCCATTGCGATTCGAACAAGGCGCAACAAACCCTCAACATCTTGGAAATTGAAATCAAGTGCCTTTTTCAGCGAATAGATACCATCTTTGTGTGAGGTTTCACCGAGTCTTGTAGTAGCAGATGTTAGAGCAATTCTCGATTTTCTCGAGGCTTCCATTGCAAAACTAACATCTTGTGCCTACAAAAAAAGTAGAACTTACGTGTCAATTATAATTGCATATAGACAAACTTGTATTGCATGTTACGAATGAGAAACTTAAAGATTGATTATACTTACAAAGTTTATAACTCGCAAGAAACTAGAACGATTCCGTGAAGTAATGATATGGTTCCCAGAAACTTGAGGGGAACCAACAACTTTGGCTAATGCAGCCTTGTCTGAAGCTGCTTGATGGTTCAAGTTGTCAACATCAGAGGCAGATGAGGAAGGAGATTCACCTAAACAGTAGTAATAAATTAGTTAAGACCGCATCAAAGTTGTTGCAGGTTATCAAAACTAAACAAGCAAAGTAAATATATTTTTTTAAGTGTAATCTGATTGCATCTAAAATTTACCAGGGGGAACAATTTGTAGAGCGGTTTGCAACTCATTTCGGTCCCTGTTTGCATTGGCATGCGAAGAATAAACCACTTTCATGTAAGCAACCTCCACACATTTATAGGCCAAAGCAGCAGCAGCCATGTCTTTTGACTTTTCATATTCATGGGCACAAAACCTGCAAGAAGGTAACTATGTCAACAAACGGAAATGCTATCCAGCTATTCGATTTCTCATTCAGATGAATCGCTATCAGAAGAAAGAGAACTGCTTAATTTAAGAAGCTCGTGTAACATGAATTCTTGATATGCCTTTAAATGATTGTGATAACACAAGAACATATCACACAGGTTTTAATACTATCAAAGATTAAGCCCCTATTACAATCTACTTCATCTTCACACCCAAATATTACGTCAGACTCGACAAAAGATACATAAATTCATTTCCCGAAATCATCAGCATAAAAGCATACTAAACATGCATGGTACAGGAGGAATATAGATGGCGATAAACTTACTCGCAGAGTTTTGCGGTGCTACTATATATATGCATTGAGTGCATCAAGTCATTATGCTTTGTGGCTTCACTGCTTCCAGATTCCAACAAAGATGCTCCATGCAGAAATTTTAGGGCAGCTTGGAAATAAAAACCATTACTCTCGGTGGATCCAGAATTCTGCAAGAACGCAAACGTATTATGGAACATTTGAAAAAAATAATAATAAATAAAGAAACATGAAAAAAATGCCAGAATCGCCAAAAGGGTGCGCGTAACAACCTTAAGACGATCAGCCAGGTGTTTAAGGTCCTTTGCCTCTTTTAAAGCATTATTAGCAGCATGACTGGACGAATCCCTTCGAACGGGGCTTGGAGCTTCAACATCCCGAATCTTATGAGTATTAGGAGTAGGATGCCTTATAGGTTGACCATTCGAGTTTTCAGCTTTCTTTCTCTGATTTGGTGGCTTTAGTGTGTCACCATTCTCCAACGAATCAGCTGCCAAACCTTTTACACCATTTTCTTTCTGAGATCCAGATACATGTTGGAGACTCACAACAGCCTCGGTCTGATTCCTCGATAAGGGTGGAAGTGAGTGCGACTTTCCATTCCCATAAACTTCTGTGTGGTTGCTTTTCTTTGGTAATTTCCCATTGTCATGCTCCTGCTGAAGATTATGCTTCTTATGCTGGCCTTTGATTGCATCTTGTCCATCATGACCAGATTTCTTTTGACTTTGTCCTTTACCGTTCTCCGTTGATGTTCCTACAGCAGTATCTTTCTTGGAAATAAGCTTCTCACTGTTAATAGGAGTGCCGGATTTCTCATCGGACTTTCTTCTTCTACTTTTCGACTTCTCCTCGTACAATTGCACGTTATCTAAAGAATCATGCATAGAATCAGAAGCCTTGGTGTTAGCTTTATCTAGGTCGGATCCAGAAGCATGACCCTTCTCTTTAGATTGTGACGAATACCCCTTCCCAGATTTCTTGGAGTGAAACTCACTACCCTGGGATTGGTCAATATTTGCCTTTTCTTCAACTTTGCTTCGCTGAGAAGAATGTTTTGAACCAGCATACTGATTACTTTGAAGCAAGGAATCATCGCACACATCAGTAACATGTTCATTGACAGTGACAATTGCATCTTTTTTTACCGTTCTAGTTCGGTCATCCCCTCCATCTTCACCACCTGAAAGCTTTCTTGGAGTAACGGCAGTTACATAGCCACAATCGTGAAAATCGTCTTTTCCGGTAAGTTTCTTTCTACTTGATGTGACCTTATCAAATCTCGAGGGAGATGAAGAAACTGATTCAACTGGGGAACCTTTAACTTCTTGCCCATTAGTTTTGTCTTTATATGAGCCAGATACCTTGGAAGAGCTTGAATTGGCAGCAAGGGAAGGATGTACAGCACCTATATCACTTTTCAAATAATCTGGTGCATGGGTGTTGCTCGGGTACTGCCCGTTATTTTGGTCCTTTTTGCCCCTACTCTTCCTGTCAGTATCTACACTCGCTTTGCTTCCATTGGTATCCTTTCCCCCAGACATGGAAACTCTAGCTTTCTTTTCTTTCCGGTGGTTACTTTCACACATTTCTTCCACAAAATCACCAGACTCTAGATGTTCCTTTGGTTTCCTCTTCTTAACAGATTCCTTATCATCACATTTTCCAGAAATGAGCAAACCATTGTCTGATGTACCTGGAACGTGCATTTCTGCATTCATATCGGAGACTAGACTCTTCTTTGCTTCACCCCTCAAATCCTTATTTGACAAACTGGTCGATCCATGACCTGCTTTTGAGGAAGTCCTGCCACTATCAGAAGCCCAATTTTCATCATCGAAGCGTAATTCCTCACTCTTCATCCTTTTGGAAGCTCTAGAATCATCAATATCAGCTTCTAACTTGGTCCTTATCTTTAAGTTTGTACCTGTGCATATCAATTTGAAGATTGCTTTTACAAAATTCGACAAAGAGAAGTCCAAGAAGCTAAAGTGGAGTTCACAGATGACTTAACATGCATAATTGATTTCCATTTTGGAAAAGTGCAGGGTACTTAATGACGTACCTTTCTCAGAAGAGTTGACAACTGATATCTTTTCTCTTTTAATATCATTGTACTTCTCATCTGCAATACTTGATTGTCGCACATGCTGATGTCCACTTGGATCTGGAGAAGATGAGTTATTTCCACTGTTCAAATTACCAATTATTACAGATGCACCGAGGTTTTTCTTCTGCGAGTTCGAAGACTGAGCAGAACCATCTAAATCAGTTGAATTTGCTGCCTTTGCAGACACGTGTTTTTTCTTCGCACTGGTTGTCATATTTTGGACAGAAATTGCATCAACTGAGGTCATTCCTGCTGAAGTCACATCAGAATTATTAAGCTGGATGTGTTGACTCTCGGGAGCAATGGCAGGAACTGAAGGAGCTGGATGATAAATGGCTCTTAAAGTGTTAGTTGTCAGCTCCTCAGGAACATTGCATCGGTTCATTCCAGGCCTATGAGATAACAAAAGTGTAAGTTTCCCATATTAAAGAACTTATGCACACACATACAAATGCCGAGTTGTTAGCATCTCCACATTTCAGGCTAACAAGAAATGTAGCAGCACTTGACTATCAAGGGAAGTAGTAAATAAATTTCAATCAACAATTATTCTGATGACTAGACAAATAATATCACTCCAACTAATAATAAATCTTGCAGAAAAAAAGAAAATAACATAGGATCGACAGAACTTACAGCCAGGTAAGCATCCTACAAAGCCATTTATCAGGAAGACTCTTGGGATTAATATCAGGTGGAAGAAGTCTCCATTTTTGACACTTATCACATGAGACCCAATCTTCCTTAACCAGAGGAACCATTCCAGCTGGGGCTTCAGAACTCGGCCCGTTTGGATAGGGAGGAGCCAAATGAGAAGCAGGTCTAGTATATTTTTCTGGTAGGAGTGGCTTTTCAGAATTTTCACCATTAAATTTCTCTTTCGAAATGTTATGATCTTCATTTAAGCTTCTTTTGCCAACAAACTGAGGATCTTTTAACATTCCCGATGGTTTCATTTCCCCTGAAATCAATTCATCATCATCGTCATCAAATTTGACATCACCAAAGAAGTCCTTATACCTGTCCCCTGGTTTTTCATGGTCCTTTTGGGGTTCATGAGAATTGTCTTTAGGCAAAAGACAATTAGTATTGAAGCTCTTCCCAATTTTAGGATTCAGAGGAGACTCGGCCATCAACTTATCTTTTGCCATCGAACCCTGACTGCCTTTACTATGAGATACTTTTTGTTTCCTCTTGCCTTCAGAAGAAGATTTATCAAAAGCTGGCTTTAAACTTTCCTCACTGACAGATTCTACTTTCTGAACAACCAAATGTTTTGAAGGATCGCTGGGTTCAGAAGTACTAAGAGATTTTCTTCCCTTATACCCATTTGACTCGGAATGTTCCAAACTGTGAAGCTTTTCTGACTTGGGTACCAACTGCTCAACTCTACCAATATCTTGGGCAGATTCACTATCCAAATGTTCCTTCTCTCTGTGTGCAGAGAAGGTTTCTCCCTTCACTCCAACTTTCAGAGCATTTAAATGAACAGTTGATATATCTTTTGTAGCAGTATTTTGAGAACTCGATAGAAGTGGAAGTTTCAAGGCATTAGAGACAAGTTCCTCACAGCCTGATGCGTCGATATCAGTTTCTTGTTCCTTCTTCGAGAGAGAAACAGCATTATCCATATCGCAGTTGTTTTTCTGATTCATTATTTTTAAGGAAAAAGCATCAACTTTTTCTAACGGCTTCAATTTTTTTGGCTCAAGGACTTTCTGATTGTTCCTACTAGAAAGAGAGCCATTCACCAACATCCCAGAACTTTCCGAGCTTGTCTTGTCCGTTGACTTAGTCTCGCACCTTCCCCTAGGCTTCTTTTTTTCTGACAGATGAATCAGATCTTCTGCTAGAGGCGATAAAAGTAACTCCGCGGGATAGGATGTCATAATCTGCTCAAAAAAAAAACCAGTATTAATAAGTTTAAATTTTATCTAGAAAAGAAGTATCCATATTAACTCCCCAAGTTCGCATCAAAGATTAGGATCATCATACCTGAAGAATACTGGTGGGTGATGCCTCAGGCACATCCAAAAGTTTACCACATTCCCCTTCACTATTTGCGGGACTATCATCCAATGAAGACGATGGAGAGACAACAAGACCGAGGCCACTGTAGATGTCAACATTCTTTTGTGTCGACAAATTTTCAGAGCCAACTTTTAGGCGGACCTTCAGAGTTCTCTGATCTGAAGGTTTTAAGGACTTCTTCGTGACTCCACCTTTCAAGCTGGACTCTTCAGCATGTCTAGATTGTAAGTAGACATTTCCTTTCAAGGATAAAGCTTTTTCTGAAGCAGCACACGACCTTGCCGATGGAGAAGCACTTGATGAAGCAAATGAATTTTGTCTTTGATCCTAATTTAGGGAGGGAAGAAAGTCAAAAATAGCTCAAATAACAACAAATATGTAATGTACAGGTATCTACCTCTAATTGTAGCTTTCTTGGGGATTTTGGTGAATCATAGTTATGAACCTCTGCTGGACTCCTTGTTGTGTGAGACCAAGATGGAGACCGCTGATAAGTAGGTAAAAACGAACCGTAGCCCCCAAATTTTGCCCCTATTAAGCATCCGAATTTCTGATCAATACTTCACATTATGAAACCATATTTATACAGCCCTGAATTTACATGAGTGTTCCCAATCTTTTCAAAGTTACCTAAATTCTCAGCCGAAACACCACCTTCAAAATCTTTCTGGAAATGCCCCAACACATTTTGGAGTTTTTCCTCCTTCAAAAAACACACATTGAGGAATATAAGCATCGGATCGCATACTAGAGAAACAAGAATGAGTGGCACAAACTGTGGGAAGCCTTATTAATTACATTGCCAACAAAATAATTTTCTCGTCATCTTCTAACCACTTAGATTTCGTACACAGAACTTGCATCCAATGAATCCACAAGAAGGGAAATATATTCTGAATTATATAGAGCACATCTATCAAATGCACACCTGCTCATCCAACTATAGCAACTAATAATTCACAATACAGAACATTAATTAATGATCTTAGACTATTTACGCAAAGCTATAAATTCATCTAAAAAATACGATCAAAACAGAACTAAATACAGACGTAGCTGATCAATCAACACGACACCACCTGTCCACAATAATTAATTCACAGGTGCACTAAAAGCAAGGTCAAAATCAATCTAACTATGTAATCGGAATTCAATTTCACATAACGAACTGGAACTGATTCACAGAGACAAATGAAGATGTAAATTGGGAGATTCTTACAATGTATGAGAGAGCAATATCAGGGTCAATAGTGGAATCTTCATCCTCATCATGACAACTAAGAGCCTCTCCTTCTTCAAGCTCAGTCTCTTCCATTTCTAATCCCAATCCTATCCTCTTTCTCCCATCTCTACTACCCACAGATATCATGAGACAAAAATTAAAAAAAAAATTAAAAAAAAATTACTAACAATAAAAACTCCCTAAAAGCTAAGCTGTTTTTTTTTTTCTCTTCCACCGTTCGCTTTCCTCCAAAAAAACTCAACGACACATTTCAAGGATTGAAGACCCAGAGAAAACACGAATTATTTCTCCCGATCAGACTTGCACTTCAATTTCTTCACCCAACAAATAAAATTAAGAAAAAAAAATCTTCAAAATTTTGAAGTGGTGGTATATGCGCGTCAAGCGATATACACTCGCGAGAAAAAAATTCAGAATTTCGAATTTATTCTGGATATTGACAGCTCCGTTTGATTTATGTATCGTGGAATTTGGATCGTGTTATGCGATCTCGGAAGCTCAAAACAATGAGCAGGAAGAAAAGTAGAGAGAGAAAAAAATTAGAGAGAGAGAGGGGACAAAGAAAGAGAAAAAAAAAAAAAGACTCTGGTTTTGGTGTACAGCAGCCGCGTTTGTTTCTTAGTATTTTGTTTTTCTTTTCTTTTTTTAATTAAATTTTACTTTCGGAATATAAAATGGAAAATTATCTTTTCGGAGAAATACGAATATTCTGAATTTTATATGTTTATTTTGATTATTAAAATTTTTTTTTCCGTGGGAAAAATAACTGTATGTTACTTTTAACAGCAGTGGTATTCTGTTTTTTAACCCAACGGCTTCGTTCCGTGAGGATAAAAGTCATAAAACTAACAGAAAATCGATGGTGTCCTAAACGATCTTTGTGGCGCGTGTACACGCGCGTACTTAGCAGCAAAGGGTTTTTTTTAGTTTACAAAAAAATCTAATATATTCTAATTAAAATGTTTTTAAATAACATTTTGCCAAACGGACCTCTAACAATTACTTGCGATTTATGAAAGCTCCAAGAAATGAGTAGCGTGCACCTGTTCTGACTTTTGACCAGGGACCTAATTCCAAGTCCAATATGATTTTTTTTTTTTTCCTTTTCAGATTTATGGATTTTCCAACTATTATTATTATTATTATTTGGTATTATTATTATTATTATCATTAGTATTATTATTATTATTATTATTATTATTATTATTATTATTATTATTATTATTATTATTATTTATTGTGACAAAAAAAATATAAATTTTTGATAAATATTGAAATGGGTCCCACTTTTTGGTTGAAGGTAGGTTACAAAATCCTTGACAAAATTATATCTATTATTTGACTAAAATGCCCTTGCACCTATGTGGTCATGGTATTGACAACAATAAAGTGCAGGGGGACTCATTCCACTAATAAATATATTATGTCACATTTATTATTATTGGGTAAGTTAATTTATTTATAGAGAATGTTAAATGTGTCACGGTCAAAGTTTGCCAAATATTTTTGTATCCACAAACTTTTTTTTTCTTGCAATTAACTAATTTCCGTTAATTCCAATAAATTTGGGTGGGGGAATATTTCTTAAGTGTTGTACTTCCAAATAGTTTTTGCATGGTCTTGGTGTTGTACCTTTTCTATGTCAGCTTCTATATATTTGTATGTAAAAACTAGACTTAAGTACACCTCAAATATATCTATTTGCCTATTAATCGTTAGTGATTTTTTATTTTTATTTTTTGAGATAAATCATTAATGAAATTTAAAAGCATGATTCTAGTTTGTGTTTTAATTGCTATTAAGACCCCAAAAATAAAATCATATTAAAATTTAAAATATTGCGGAGCATGCCCCCCAACAATTGAACCGAATCCAAAATCACCACAAGCACAGTTAAATGCATAAAAACTATTTGAGATATGCGTGGGTTACATTTATTCAATTTATTTAACTCATATTAATTAATTAATATGAGCAAGAAAATTAAATAAGCAGGGACAGTTTCTTGTTTTTAATTCAATAAATATCCAGTCATCAATCAATGCTTTGCTTGCACTGATTGCAATCTCTATTTTAATATTCAATATTCAACTTAAAGTCAATGCTAATTCCATGTTACATGTACTCAATATGTTGCCATGAATTCTATTTTAAATTTTGTGCACAAACTTTCGAAATGCAAACTTAAATCACCTCCGCGAGGTAAAATGCAATCACGAAAAAAACCCATTTATTGAGAAATTACGTTCAGCTCCTACCAAAGGGTGTTAACGTAAGAAATCTACAAATTACAGGGTGAATGTAATTATGGAAAAGTGAAGGGTTTTTGGTTAAATAAACCTTACCTCGAGGGGGCGATTGTAATTTACCTAGAAACAAAGGTTGACAGACAAGTTGGTGAAGGGGGTCTACATAAAATTTTGGTCCTTATCTCTTCATCAGCAGTGCATTGCAATTGGGTTTCCAATTTGGAATTTCTAAAATTAGAATACACTATAATTTATGCTATTTTGTTCCATACTCGTACATACAGCTATATATCTCCAGTCATCAATGGTTGACTTTTCTGGTCAACGCGCTGATGCCCCAGCTTCAACCCCATCACCAAACCTTATTCTTCCTACTCGTATATATTTATTTATCTATGTAATATGTAAATGGATAATATGCATTTATGAATTATTGATTATATAAAAGTACAAATTAATATTATCAAGTATAAACTATTTATTCTTATATTGAAAATTAAAATATAGGGAAACTGACACTGTAATTATCTGGATGCACCTTGGAATTGATCCCGCAGCATCTCATATTTCTTCAGCTCCGCCATTGATAGTGAAGGAGATAATTCTCTTAATACCTTCAATATATATACACACATTATTTCACACACACACATTGTGAAGGAGATTATACGCACAAATTTTTGGGAATCATACCTCAACAAAATCCTCGTATTCAACGACAATTGCCTCGGATTGATCAGATGAGCCTGAATCTGAATCATTATTAATTAACACCTATAACAAAATAACGAAGAATTAACTTAATCCCGTGAGAAGAAAATACCATAAATCAGATTCTTAAATACTTTATTTATCCAATGAATATTATTATGTAATGATGAAGCTCAAGCTTGAACTTCCAAGAAAGGAGAAAAAACAAGATTTACTTTGCGTTTTGCAGCATGAAACCAAGCATCTGCGCAGAGGGCGTACATATCAGCACCAGTGAAATTTGAAGGGCATTTCTGTGCTATCTCGTACAGTGACACATCTTCGTGCAATTTAAACTTCCGAGTAAGTGCTTTAAGTACCCTGTAAACGAGAGATTGCATGGATTATTATGGGAATATTTAATTAGATGCATTCACAATTGAAATTTAAAAATGAAACAAACCTCTCCCTATAAGATGCTTCAGAATTAACACCAACATAAAGGAGCTTGTCAAATCTGCCTGGCCTCAGAAGTGCGGGGTCGATAAGATCTGGTCTGTTACTAGCTCCTATTATAAACAAGTCCTAATGAATCCCACATCGTAAAATTAAATCAGAACGAGGATAAAGAAGATAATAAAGAAGGTGTGCCACCCAAAAAATCGAGATTGAAAAAGTAAGACTAGAAAATTAAATAATCGAGGATTATATAACCCACCTGGCTAGAATCATTCAGACCATCAATTTCTGCAAGCATCTAGAAACACCGAAGGATATTAGATAATGGCCTAATTGAAATCAGAAGAAAGTATAATTATCACTACACACACGTATACATTGTATTGATGATGTGTCGGATCTGTTCTTTTTCAAAACTCATAATATGGTAAAAAGACAATAGACGACAAAGACATCTTTACCTGAGAAACAACTCTGTCCATAACACCACCGGAATCTCCAGAGGCACCACGAGCTGGAGCAAGTGAATCGAGTTCGTCAAAAAATATAACACATGGACGAGCTGCTCTGGCCTAAATTTATGCCGATGACAGGGTCTCAGTGTTTTGCACATAAGTGTTTAATTGTTATTAACTTGTTACAAAAGAATAATAAGTTACCTTCTGAAAAATGTCACGTATGTTTTTCTCAGACTCTCCTATATACATATTGATCAACTCAGGCCCTTTTACACTCAGAAAATTTAAGGAGCATTCTGTAGCGACAGCTTTTGCCAGCAACGTCTGAGGTTTGCAATACAATAATGGATGATTTATGCTTAACGGATACTACTTTAAAAGGATATGCACCATTAAATTTAAAAAAAAAATTACAAATAAATCACAATGGAAAGATTGATGCAATGAACTTACTTTTCCAGTCCCAGGAGGACCATAAAGAAGGACCCCCGATCGTTTACGCAAACCAGATGAAAATAAATCTTTATGCATGAGGGGAAGCTGCCAATATAATTACAAAACACCATTAACAGCATAAAATATCAAGAAATGCAAAGTTATCTAGATGGACTAAAAATTGCCAACAGAGCAGAGTCTTGTAGTATGAAAGGTTTAAAATGCCATTTTGAAACTATCGTTGCAAACTTAAAAGATTATACTTATTTTTTTTTCTTTCACAAGCAAGTTAAGCATGAACCCATAAATCTGTATTCTAACATTTAAGAGAATATTAGTAAAAGAATTTCTATACCATTGTCTGATAAGTGATAATCCTTTTTGGCCTACTCAATTTAAAATCAAATAATACTGATATTGATATTTCTTTATGAATGGTCATGAAAAATCTCCACAAAATGATCCAAAGCGGTAAGAAATATCATGGTACCTGAACGGTGTCGAGGATCGATTTTTTCACATCCTCAAGCCCACCAACATCATCCCATTTGACGTTGGGTACCTATAGTCATACCGTCACACATAAGTAGGATTCTGACATATCCAGTAATGAGCATTATAATTCATCTTTTTGACCATATTAATTGCTATAAAACACTAGAAATACCCCTTTCACCTCTGATACACAAAATATGACATGGGACAAGTTCAGAAAAAAACTGAGTATTCATGATTCATAATTGTTTCCATAATATATTTTCCAGAAAGACATCAACAGTTTCATTAAGACCTAATATTAATATACTTTACCTTAGGAGTACCAAGAGCTGATGCATTTCTTTTCTTTGATTGTTCCAATGCTTTGAGTAAGTTTTCTTTACCATGATCTAGAGATGCATTACTTATTTTGCTATTGTCTTCAATTGAATTGGACTCAATTGATCCATCCTTTAAGTTTCCATGCTCAAGCTTCTCCTTCTTGGATATAAAATTTGCACCAGTATCAGCAATTAGAGCACGTAGATCTCTCGGCATGAAACCAGATGTCTGACCAACGATATCTTTTACAAAATCCTCAGCAGAAGCCTGAAATGATAAATTATCTGATCTGTCAAAATCAGAAACCATGGAGAAGGTAGTCATAATGCAGCAAATAAACCATAAAAAAAATATTGTTTTCCCTCATCCTTCTCGTCCTATACAACTAGAATCTTGGTCAAATAAATACATCACACATAATAGCATTTTGCCATGTAGAAACTCTGGAGCCCGTTACTTGTTATAATCATTGATTGCGGCAATTAGCCGTCACTGGTTTGGCAAACCAACAAGGCAGTGCGGGTAATGGTACAATTTTCAGACGGAAAGAAGTAACCTACATTTGGAAGCAGTTCAGAGGCATGTTGAAAAGACTCGGACAGCAATTGAAACCTTTGGTCTTCACTCAGAGGTCCTATTTTGACTTCATGACTAAAGCAACGCCTAATAGTTGGAGGAAGACCTTCAGAACTTTCTGCAGCTGCAATTAGCAGTACTGGGTGCTGGTTTATCATTTCAGCAACTTTTAACTGCTGCAACAGTGAGAGAAACAATAGAATACTAATTATATTTATCTCTTGGGCATGAAGTACCCCTGTGATATCCTATGAAAGGTTTTTATCTTAATCCAGAGTGGTTATCCAAAAAATGTGTTTAGCCAGATTATTAATTTTGGAACAAAGGAGAAAATTTTACCCTTAATTTTGAGTAGTGTTTAACATGAAATAAAAGATCAGTTTGCCTACTATTACTGTTAGTAATACTAGTATAGTTATTATTCCAGTTATTGTTAACATATAATTGTATTGTTTATTCATGTTATACACGGGAAAAGAAAAAAGGGGAAACATGGAGAAATCAATCTTGGATTATTAGATCTGATTCGAACTAATAAATATCTGAGCAGTAGATTACATAAACCAGCAACTTGTAAACTTACATTATCACCAAGTGAGTTTTCTTCAGTATAGTCATCTTCATCATTAGTAACTGGCTCAGTGAACTGCTTAATGACAGATGCAATTTCTGAATTAACTCCAACTTGCTCATGAGATGATCCCTCTTGAGTAGCCAGATCGCGGAAAATCTCAAAATGACGGAGAAGAAGAACCGTTGGACGATATCTGGAGTTTAATAGCATATTAAGTATAAGAGATTTTACTATGAGTCAAACAGATAATATTAAGTAACAATGAAATGAAATCTGCATAGATTGCCTTGTAACACCAAAAACTACAGTATTTGAAACAAAAATCACTATTTTAAAAGAACATATTGAAGCTACACAATTTAGAAGATAAAAGATTTTGCTGTTTATGTTTAGTAGCATAGTGGTGTCAGAATACCTGCGAGCCATATTGAAGGCTTCAGCTAGTGCAACAGATGTTTTCTTCTCCGAAGAAGTCATAAAATTATGACAGCTATATTCCACCACATGCAAACCCAATTGACGGGCAACATATCTTATCACAGTCCTCTTTCCAGAACCTACAAGACAATTATCAATCAGCAAATCCTTTTCCTCTCAAGTTAAAAATCTGTTTTTAAACATCTCGTGACTTGTAAATTTGAGGATCTTGATATGAAAATTTAATAATTCACAACATACCAGGAACACCATGAAATAGGATAGCGACCCTGAATCTTGATGAGAGTGCTGATGGACATAAAGCTGGTGCAAGTATTGAGGCTAGAGACAGCACTACGTCATCTTGTAAAGGTGAGAAACTTTTTGATTGTGAAATTAAAGGATCTGGGGGAACAGCAGACGGAACACTCCCTCCAAGGACAAGAGCAGTTTGACTGCGATTGACTCTCAAGAAAGGCTCTTCTGATGGTTCCATAGCCGCAACCTGAAAACCAGCATGGTTACATGTATCATTATCTGCCACAACCCGCGAGCAACTGAAAGTACAAATTAAAGCATATACAGAAATAAAGTATCTTACCTTGAAGTATATTGTGTTATTACCACCATCTAGCATCTTTTGGTTGCAAGGGATGCACAAGTCTGATTTGCAGTTCCAGTTTATGCATATACTGAAGAGGTCACCCCTGGTCAGATATCTATCAACAGAAAAGTAGTCATTTAATGCAAAATCTATCAACTCTTGTCGATCTTTTGCTTCGTCTGATGAACTGGTTTTAAGACGTTCAAGGGTACCACATTCTGGTATCTTCACAAATGAGGCCCTCAAGTGTGAGGCATACTTAGGCAACTCTGCCCAGGGTTGAAGCCCTATACTAAGAGTAGAGGGGTCATTATCTTTCCCATTTGTTTCACCGTTTGCTTTCACTTTAAGCAAAGACGACAGTGTATCTTTCCCTTTCTGCACTACAGATTTCAAGCACGACAGATGCAAATTCAAATTAAATGCGAGAATAGGAGATAAATAAGCCACTTGAGGATCCAAAGTAGAAGACTGATTTTGAGGATAAGTGCATGATGGAAAGACCAACATTGTGTTAGGTGCATATGGGCAAACTGATTCATATTTGGAAGAGTTTTCATCCGGATTTGGAGGATCCAATACCACTGCTTGTCCAATTCGATCGACATTAGTATCCACATTCTTGATGAGTATCTACACATAAAAAGGAAAGCAAACTCGGGGGGTCATTGACTCACTTATTCATCGGCAATCCCTTCTACAAAACACACGAACAAAACAAAGAATACTGATCAAGTAACCACATTAACTAGTCCTACGTTTAGAGTTATCAAACAGTATATATATGTGATTATGCTCTAATTGTGTTAAACGATCGCCAAATTGCTAAACCCTGTCATAAATACATGAATTAGGATTCAGTTTCCACGCACCGTTGGCTTCACAGAAGTCAAAATACGAAAAACATACTCACATATCTGAACACAAATTAGCAAAAACAAAACCAGGTAAACTAGAGACGAAAGATGAAAGTTCCTACTGAATTTTGTCTTCAGCAATTCGTAATATGATATTTGCCCAGGTAGACAGACCAAACAACAGTCCTTTAATCAAGCAAAATCGAACGAAAATCACTGAATACCTCAAAATAATTAAAAAGACAAAAAAAAAACAGTGGAAAAAGAGAAGCAATACCAGCGACCCAGAAGTAATGGATAATCGTTTGAGCATAGAAGTGGACAGCCCAACCAAAGCAGAAGCATCAACCGAATCGAAGGTTGCATCCTTAGAGAATCTGAGAATTCCAGCCGTCGATTGCAGGGTGCGAGCGGACGAACTTGTCGAAATCTCGTCAATTCCATCACTATCTTCGGTGGTTTTGCGAGGATTAAGCAAGGAATTGACTAGTGCTTCAGTGGATGAAAGCACCAACGGCTTCCTCTTCCTCCTCTCCACCATTGCAGACGATTATATACAACCCTAACCCTCCATTTACCGGCCAAAAATATTGAACGTCATCTGTTTCACAAAACTAGGAAGGATATACTTGTTGCTGCCTGCAGGTGATAGATACATACATACATTATATGCGTGCATATATATAGTGGGATATGGTGAGAGCTGTACAATTGAGCAACTCAAGACAATTGCCAAAATCATATTATTCAAAAAATAAATTCTAAATTGACCACATTGTTCACTTAATTACGTTAAACATCAATTCTTTAATTACATTTTTCTTTTTAATTTTTATAACTAGTTGAGTAATATTATGTTTTAATTTTTATTAGTAATTGAACAAATAAAATCTTATTTTAACAAAAGTGGTGTGAAAGTGTTGTGATCTGAAAAAATCCCCCAAGTGTTGTGAGAGGTGGTGTGATTTTTTGTGATCCTCCTTCGTAATATGTAACTTGAAGATTGTGCTAGCAAATTGAAGTTGGTTGTCCCGAGTGGATGTAGATTTTTCGAGGCCGGAACAAAAACCATAGAAACAGTCCAACAAAAACTCTCGTGAATCACGTTAGATTTCAGTTATCCGTCATTAGTTCGACACATAAATTTTTTTTCCTGTTATTTTAGAAAAGTTATAGAAAATCATATTATTTCATAGAAACACCAGACGAGAATCTCGTATGTTAGGTTGTTTCTAAAATTGAGATCATTTAGAAATACGTTTTAACTAATTTTAGCATTTTTTTTACAAAATGATCGTTTTTCCGTAGATAAATATTACATACAAGGTAGTAAGATTTTTTTTTGGGATAAATGAATATTGTAATATTTATGAAAAAAATCATAATTATTGAAGTTGTTCTTTCCCTTTTTGATAAATTATAATTATAATTATAATTATAAATATATTTGATTGGATCATTATTTTAAAACGAATACATACATCTTGGACTTTTAGTAACTTTCAAATGGGCTCAATTTAAATATTACTTCGATTGGGCTAACAAAAAAGTAGTCCAGTCCAAAGCTTCATTCTAAATCAGAAAAGACAAAAGAGAATTCATTGCATTTTGTCATACTCATCCCACATCGGGAAACTAAACAAATTTTATATTCTTTATAACCAATATTTTCAGAACTATCAATCGCCGGGTTCAGCAGCGCGAACCTGTGACCTAAGCAGGGGCATTAAGGCGACGGAAGGTTGTAAAATAAGGCGTGGGCCCACTCTCTCGGGAATAATCCTCCACGTCGGCAGGCTCACTCCCGCTTACGTGGCAGGATTAGCGGTGCACCCCACACTGCACACCCCATTGAGGGATCTTGTTGAAGGTCTCGGCGGCGATATTGTGATTCCGGCCGGCAAGGGTGCCCCCTAAAGGTGTCGGCCGTTGAGGTGGTGGTGGCACCCCCACCGGAATAACCATCACACACATTCTCTAACTCGGAGCGCGCGCTTTGAGGTGAGTTAGAGGGCAACGATGTTGTGAACACGTTACATATTTAAGTGCTGGCTTGACAGAGCAGCAGCCGCTATTGGGCCTTGTGGTGTGGGGGTGTTGCTCCGAATCGCCGGCGCGTGTTGGGTCTCAAGCCTTATTCCTCAACCGAACCTCGACCTTTTGTAATTAATTCCTTTCAATTGTACAAACATAGGAACACAATGTACAGCCCAACCTTTTGTAATTAATTCCTTTCAATTGTACAAACATAGGAACACAATGTACAACCCAGGCCTATGTTGATAAGTATTGTCTATCAAGCTGGAGAACTGGCCCATATTGAAATGGGCCATTTATTGTTACAAATTTAATATAGAAATAAATTCATAATTATATATATTTTGTTATTTTTTTTAGAAAAAATTAATATCGTTAATTATAGAATCGACAATTTTTTAGATATTACACCGGTGAAAATTTTTCTTCGTTTAAAATTATTTATGTGTTCGTAATTTTTTCCCTCGCTCATGATTGTATAAATAATTTTTTTTTTTTTGCTATTAGGAGAATAATATAATTGTGTTTATAATTCTAAGGTGAAAACATTATAAATGAACTTTCATTTGACCAAAAATAATACTCTACATGGGATGAAGGACTGAGTAATTAGAATTTAGATGCATATTTTTAACTTATTTTATATTGAGGAAGAATTTAATAGTATTAATTTGAAATAAGGCGAAACCCGATCAAATATGCAAATATTCAGACGAAAAATCGAGAAGAGAAAAATTTGGAAGATATTCTCAAAGTTTGAAATTAACTTGAATTTTTCTGCATAATTAACAAAATTAGTATATATGTTTTAGTTAAATACTTGTAATTGGTCCATTTATTATTAATAACTTAATAATTGGTAATAATAATTAATTAATTAATTTAAGGAATTGCAAGGGGCAAGTTTATACTTAACTTGGAGAAAAAGGTAAAGATGGGAGTTAAACTGATATGAAATCTTTTTTTAAATACTTACCTTATTTAAATACATACCTTATTAAAAAAACAGTTAAAAAACAAAAGAAAAATATCTACCTTATTGTCTTAAACTGATATGAAATCTTTTTTTAAATACTTACCTTTTTTAAATACATGCCTTATTAAAAAAACACGTAAAAAACAAAAGAAAAATACTTACCTTATTAATTTTGGTCTTCACAACGGTCGAATGCAGTCCTATAAATACAAGCCAATGTTATATTTTCAATTTACTATTAAACCCGATAATCTCTCTTCTCTCTATCGTCTCTCTGCGTGCGAGTGTCGCTGTGTGTGCGCGCGAGTGTCGCTGTGTGTGCGCGCGATGATGATTCTCGATTTTTGCAGAGAGATGATACTGATTCTCTCGATTTTTGCAGTTGCAGAGGTGATACCTATTCTTTTGAGTTCTCGCTCCTTCCTCTATTTCCTCTGAAATTGGATATTTTCTGATGAGCTCTCTTTCTATGTGCGTGAATTTGTGTGTCTTGAATCCAAATGAACTGTTATGATGATTCTTGAATCTAAATGAACTGTTATGATGATTCTTGAATCTTGTTACTTTGTGGAGATGATAAATTGGGCATTTAGAAACCCTCCCGCCGTATCTTGGTGTGGCAAACCCGGATATGCTGCGATTTTGGGGAAATTTATATTTCCCCAATCGCATGCAACCGTGGATTCTGCAGCCATGGTATGGCGTGGTGGAATGCCTGTTTAATTCTCTGCATCTAACAACGGATCATTGATCGAATGCTAGAAAATTACTGTTCCCCATTATAATTATTTTACAGAGTATTTTTAAACTTTACTCTGCGTGAATGTGTGTGTCTTATATATTCTAATGGAGCTGTTGTGATGATTGTTGATAATCTGTGGAGCTGATAAATTGGGCATTCAGAAACCCTCCCGTATCTTGGTGTTGCGGACCCGGATGGGCTGCGATTTTGGGGGAATTCATATTTCCCCTGTTTTTTTTTTTGGTTCCAACAATTCTTTGGTTGTTTGCCACCTATACCGCTATTATGGATCGAGTTGAAAGCGCAAGGACGAGATGTGCTCTAGAACCTCTTCAGATAAGTTTCTTGCAGCTGCCTTGCTAACAGTTTCATCAACCCAGTATTTCTGGTGAAGAGTATTTCTGGACCTCTTGCTGAATTCTTGTTATTTGCTCACTTTTGGTGTTACAATTACAAAATGCTATTACTATATAAAATATATTTCAGTGTTTCTCCCGGAATGGTTTAAGATGTCCTTGCACACACACACACACACACACACATATATATATATATATATATATATATATATATATATATATATGTATATGTGTGTGTGTGTGTATATGTGTATGTGTGTGTGTGTGTATGTGCATGTGTTTATGTTTTTTTTTCATGTCTCTTACTAATTTTATTATGTATTTGTTTATTTTTGTGAAGTATCAGAAAATATAGAAGAAAATATCACACTTTCTCACACACACACACAGACATACACAGAATATCAGCACATGAGAGGTGTTTGGTTTATGGTGGGGAGTAGAGGCTGCGACAGACGGCGAAGAGAACAAGACAACA